TATAGGGGTAACTTTTAACAAAATGACCCCCCCCCTCCCCCCACACCATACATAGACCATCCCGTAACCCTTCCCATCGCCCCCCCCCCCTCTATATCAAAGCAAACCATTGTTTTAGAGTTTAGAACAATATATTAATATAAGGGCTTGTCATTTACAACAAAGTAAATAATATCTGTTTAAAATCGTGGCCGTGCGACTCTCTGCTCCAACTGATGTTATGTTGCTTTTATAGGACCAGGTAGCGATAAAAAAATATTGACCCACTTTTTTTTTCTTTTAATTAAAGGAAGATAATGACAGTTTGATCGATTTTAAAATTTATTAGCTTTTCTTTTTTTTTTAAATTAATTGAACCAGGGGATGTAACTTTGGTTTCTATATTGTACATCTGCACCGTGTACTGGCTGTTTAGAAGCTCTGCTTAATGTTTAACGTATGGGTCCCATTGTACAATAGGTTTAAACATGAAAGGGGTGACTATAAAAAAGGGTTCAGAAAATAGATTTAAACATGAAGGGGCTGGCTGTAATACAGGCTTCAGATATCTGGAGCAGAGCTAGTGGTGAGAACAAGATAGAGGGGATAGATAGATGTCACTAATGTAACAGATAGATGTCACTTATGTGACAGGTAGATGTCACTAATGGTGTTGTCAAATGATGTGGGGATAGCTACGATAGGTTGCTGTTATGGTGATGATGATGTGGGGACAGCTACGGTAGGTTGGTGTTGTATGATGATGTTGAGACATCTACGGTAGGTTGGTGTTGTATGATGATGTTGAGACATCTACGGTAGGTTGGTGTTGTCATGGTGATGGTGTGGAGACCTAAGGTAGGTTGGTGTTGTCTGATGGTGTGGAGACAGCTACGGTAGGTTGGTGTTGTCTGATGGTGTGGAGACAGCTACGGTAAGTTGGTGTTGTCTGATGGTGTGGAGACAAACCTACGACAGGTGGAACCCAGACACGGACTAAGAAGACAACAGACACGACTGACTGGAAGAGGGTGCCGATGTGGGCTAAAGCCCTCTAAAATCTGTAGAGCTAAGGAATGGACATCATTTCTAAAAACAAAGTGAGAGCTTTTATATACTATGACGTTAGCTGAGTAAGTGTGTGGGGGGGGGGGGGGGGGAGGGGGTACAGGGTGCTTATTATCGTCTTGTATATCATTCATGGCGTTTATACGACTTGACGATACTTCGCCAAATCTGCAGTAACCATTTATTAAATAATTTAACTCGCGAAACCTCGTAACCGAAACTGTGAAATATGTCGTTAAAGCGTCATAAATTATCTTAACAAAATGAATACAGAAGTCTTAAACTGATTTGGCAGTTTAGAATGTACCCTTTTCCGAAATAATTTATGTGAAGCTCTTTTACGACGGAATTAAAATATACATACAGTCATAAAAGAGCTTTTGTTACATTATAAAGCAAATAGCTATAGGAACAGTTAAAGGCACATAACAATTTTATAATTAATTTTACACGACACCGAAATAGGTTAAGGGAGACAACAAATAAAATCTATATCTTGTTATGGTCGCGAAGGTTAATCCCCTTAATTTATGGCAAACGGTGAAGTCGTTATATCGAACAGTAACACAAATCTCCAAGTTTATTGATTTAAGTTCGCCATTCGGGATTATTAATAACCTCATTAATTAGAGTAATAAATTAATGCTTGATGGTCGCGAGCTCCTTAATTACCTGATGAAATTCACACGACACAGATGACTGGCCAAGGGAGGGGATTCGTCACGTGACCAGTTTGCCTGGGCAATGGCGGGTTGGCCAGTAATTGCAGCTAGCCGGTACAAGATTGGTAGCTTTTGGTCAAGTTTGCGAAATACCACTTTTTATTTTCATTTTACAGCATTGGGACAAAATACCACCTAATTTATTAGTACAGCATCGGACTAAATTCCACCTGATTTATTTGGAGAGTATTGGAACAAAATACCACATTAAAAATGAATTGTACAAGATGGTGATAAAATACCACCTTCTAATTTAATTGTAGAACATTGGGACAAAATACCACCTTCTTATTGAATTATAGAACATTGGGACAAAATACCACCTTCTAAGTGAATTATACAGTATTAAGATTAACTGCTACCTTTTAAGTTAATTGTAATAGATTGGAACAGAATACCGCCTTTTGATTTTATTGTACACTATTAACATTGTACAGTATTGAGATAAAATACCACCTCTTCATTAAATTTAAATGTAGACTATTTAAGACAGAGGCGTAGCGAGGGGGGGGGGGGAGGCGGGGGGACATATGTCCCTGGGCGCCGACCTTAGGGGGGGGCGCCAAAATGGGTTGGAAAAACAAATTGAAAGTTTGCCCCCGGGCGCCGGGAAGGGTCGCTACACCTCTGATTTAAGATAAACGTTTCTTCGCCTAGAAAATTATTTCACTTTTATCTAGAAGAAATACTCAATAAAAAAGGAGAGAGGATTTTGAACATAACTACAGCAGAAGTGATAAATGCGGCCTGTACTGGACTATAGTGGTGGGTGTGGATTTCAGTCTCAAACATGACCCCTTTATTTATCCAGAACAAATCATATGTTGAGGTAAATGGTCGCATGTGACCACCTTATATGACCAGTGACGTTCTTTAAAAGATCATCCTTCTGAACCAACGAACATTAACTTTAACCAATGACCCTCAACACTGACCAACGTGTTGTATTTCACTCGACCAACTAACACTTAGATATCCACTGATACATATATATATATATATATATATATATATATATATATATATATATATATATATATATATACATATATATAGGAATACAGCGGTACCAAAACTTAGACTTAATTTATTGTACATCGCAAAAATGACTGGAAATTTAGAAATAAACCACATAATTTGCTAGATCTAATTAGTTAATTACGAAATGTCTTCGCGTGACGCGATTATGTTTGGGGTTTCGTTCAGTTATGTTGCTATTTGACCTAAATAGCGTCATCATTATCTAAATTTAGCACGGTCTCCCCTCTCTTTCACCCCCCCCCCCCTCCCCACCCCCATCTAGCTCTGAGACCTGAACATAAAAAAAAACATTATGCACAGTGAAATGTGCAGTTCTTTGAACGACGGGGGAGGGGCGGGGGAGGGGGAGGTGAAGAACAGAAGTTGTGAAAGTCGAAGTTATGAGTACTTTTATGGCAATCAATAAAAATGGGCGTGGCTAATTAACTTTGATTGTGTGTAACTTTGGCCGAGGCTAAAACCACCGCAGACAATGATTGTTGGGCTGATGATAAAATATAATGGCTGGACAACATTGATGGTTGAACTAAAACCACCGCAGACAATGATTGTTGGTCTGATGATAAAATATAATGGCTGGACAACATTGATGGTTAAATAAAAACCACCGCAGACAATGATTGTTGCGCTGATGATAAAATATAATGGCTGGACAACATTGATGGTTAAATAAAAACCACCGCAGACAATGATTGTTGGGCTGATGATAAAATATAATGACTGGACAACATTGATGGTTAAACTAAAACCACCGCAGACAATGATTGTTGGGCTGATGATAAAATATAATGGCTGGACAACATTAATGGTTAAATAAAGACTTGAGGCTTTTGTTTTAGCATTTCTACTAGAGAATCTTATTACAACCAAATATTTTAGATTTTAATTGAACGAAAGACAATAGCTAGCTACATTGCTCAAATTAAGGTTATTTCACTAATTAAAATATATTATGATTATGGTCCTGTTGATGAACATCACTTAACAATTATTTCTATTTTAGATTTCATATCTACAAAAAGCTCAGTCCTTAATTTAACCATTTGTTTAGCTAGATGACTAATATCATCATCATCGTCGCCGTCGTCATCGTCATAATCATGGTTATTATCATCATCATCATCGTCGTCGTTTTCGTCGTCCTAACCCTCATCTTCATCATCATCTTATCCCGTTTGTGCCTAGGACAAACAAGGGACAGTTTGATCAGCACTAACGTGAGCCAGGTACCCATCAGAGCTGGTTGGACTCAGGGACGTGCTGCAGACTCGTACACGGGATCCGAACTCTTGACTTTCGGCTAGCAGTCGTTGGCTCTACCACCCGGCCACGCCTTTGAAGACAAATTCCAAGATCCCTAGTTGTACGTGACAAATTTAATAAACAGCTTGAAGGAAACGTGGCCTTTTCTCTCATCAAAGACTTATTTGGCTTTGTAATTAGATGACAAGTTTGTTAGTCACTCACCATCTTTTTGGACAAAATGCTCAAGTAAAGAGTGGTATGCCCTGATCATGTAGACATCTGTAAACTTGAGTGAGTGGGGGCATGCCCTGATCATGTAGACATCTGTAAACTTGAGTGAGTGGGGACATGCCCTAATCATGCAGACATATGTAAACTTGAGTGAGTGGGGGCATGCCCTAATCATGCAGGCATATGTAAACTTGAGTGAGTGGGGGCATGCCCTAATCATGCAGGCATATGTAAACTTGAGTGAGTGGGGGCATGCCCTAATCATGCAGACATATGTAAACTTGAGTGAGTGGGGACATGCCCTAATCATGCAGGCATATGTAAACTTGAGTGAGTGGGGGCATGCCCTAATCATGCAGGCATATGTAAACGTGAGTGAGTAGCATGCAAATAACATGTAGACATCTGTAAACGTGAGTGAGTGAGTAGCATGCAAAGAACATGTAGACATCTGTAAACGTGAGTGAGTGAGTAGCATGCAAAGAACATGTAAACATCTGTAAACTTGAGTGAGTGAGTAGCATGCAAAGAACATGTAGACATCTGTAAACTTAAGTGAGCAGCATGCATAGAACATGTAGACATCTGTAAACGTGAGTGAGTTGAGCACGAGACAGCACATGCATGCACGAACGCGTGAGTCGCCGAGACGGCCCAAGTATCGGCCAGCTCTCCCAGATTTCAACACGTCACCAGCTCATGGCGTCGTTGGAA